TGTTTGGCCAGGTAGATCTACCTGCTGATTTCGCTGAAAATAATGGTAGAAGAATGTGTTTAAAATATTAGCTACTCATTAGTCCACTCCTTGAGGAGCAAGTGAGACTTCAGGAGTTTTCCTTATCTTTCATCTGCTGGTCCACTTTCAGGCAAGAAGACTGTTCCTCTGCAAGGACTGTACAGAGCACTGTCGTCCGACTGCATGACACAAATACAGGGCCTTCTTTTCAGGACCATGACTTCAATTTATGCAGGGCAGATGTCTAGCATGTATTAAACTCCCTACTTTCAGGTTTTCCTACAGGATGGGCAATGCCCAGCCTGAAATATTAATAAAATATAAGCTTATTACAAAAAAAAAAACCTCAGACTACAACAGGAAATGCCCTGGGTCAAAGAGCCATTATTTTCAAGTCTTTAAAAGCTAAGTCAATGGTTAAGGAATTTATTTTCTAAATGTTTATTCATTGCTCTTTTATTATGCTGTAGGATAACTGTGTCACCCAATACTAGACATTAATTTTGATATCTAAACCAAGAGACTAGTGAAGAAAGCAAGGATCCTTCAGAGGGCAATTCGGGTTATGGTTATATTAGCTGTACCATGCAGCATAACTGCATTTCCAGAACAAGGATTTAATTTAGGCCTGAAACTATTCTGAGCGTTTCTCTCCACTGGCTCTACAGGAAGCCCACGTTAAAGCATCTGAAGGTCAGTGGCGTGGCTATCCCACTCCAGTCGCATCTTCACACGAGTTCAAGGAGAAGCCCTGAATGCCCAAAGCCATGACGACGTTCCGAGGGACGGTCCATCATGTCAGAGAACAGCACTGCTTTCTGAGGTCAGGACAAACAGTTGACATTTGCCAAGAATAAAAGCAGCTCTGTCTTGGGTGTCAGAGCCAGAAAGATGAGTAATACTGTGATGGCTACACTGTAACATCTCCTCCTTGGATTTAGCTCATGTTACGTGAGCAGTAAGCTGCTTGATCTTGGACCACATCTTCAATTGTCCAGTCTTCTGGCTTCTTATATACATGTGGACCTACACACACTCCCCTTCAGTGGAAATCTTTCCGTTTCTTCAGCTATATACCTGACAGATATTTAGTATCTTGGCCAGTTTCTCTATTTCAGAATTCCACTACTTTCTACATATGGATTGATGTCATGTTCTAATTTGTTTATCTTCTGAAGTCTCTACTAAGATGACAGAGCAACAGTTGAGAACATAATGATAATCAGAATGTCTCTGGTAAATTTTTCTGAGGCTTTTCTGAGGGCTCTGTGACCATTAGGCAGCTATTTACAGCCCGAATTTTACATAACATTATAGAAGAAGAAACAGTACTCAGGTGAGTGCAATTCTTGTTGACAGTGACTTCTGGTAGAGTGCTGTCATGTATGGGTTGAAGCTGTTGAAGATCTTAAATGTGCTGTTTTATCTACACTAATCTACTGTAATTTCAGAAATTCAAAACGGTTGTCTGTGGCCAAGTTTACCCCAGTGATATTACCAAAGTTACCAATGGTGAATATATGCTCATTTCTTCACTTACTGCCAGTGTTCAGCTGGGTTTCCCCTCCTTTTTTCAGACCAGATCATTTTTTTGTCCCAATATTTGAAATCTTGACTACTGAACGACTTTAGTTTCTATTCTTCATCTGAAGCAAAGTTAGCACCCATTCACCAAGGCGTATGCGAAGCAGGTGAGGGAAAGAAAGATTCTCCAGTATTGCACCCTTCCTTAATTCTGAACTTGGGTTTCTGAGCCTACTATGTACTGACCCAATGCATGGTTTGAAACCCGACGGGTACTGTGGAGCACCCATGGGTTTACAGAGATAACAAGTTTTTGTTGATGTTTAAGGACAAGTTTAGTCAGCTTTGCATCATCGCTGTTGTGTCTTTGAAATGTCATAATATAAACATGAATTGGCCTCCATTTAAAAACAAAAAACACGAAAGGGAGTTTACCTGATATGTTCCTAAATGCCCTTTTTAAATTTTAAATAGTGACCAAGTTTACTAAAGATGTAGAAAATGGTCATCGTTTAATTGTGTATCAGATGTCTCCTCCCTAAAAGCATCATGAATAGTTTACAGTAGCACGAGCATTTCACAAGAGAAGATGGATATGCAGTAGAGTTCCCTTTATTTCATAACATTAAAGCACACAACCATTAAATACACTTGACACTTCTATTGTGCTATCATCTAAAAAGCTACGCTCCAATGTACACATGGCACAAATCTGGTGGCATCCACTTCGACCAAGTGGAACATCTAAATCAAAGCAAAGGCTTCACATAAAAAATAGATCTTACTCTCTGCAACTGTATTCTTAAAAAAAATGATGGCAATGATGAGATTGAATGGAAAGAAAGTGGATTACTGAAGCAACAATCGCCTCCCAGATTTAATGCAGAATGTTATTTTTATCAGCTCATCTGCAGATGGCACAAATGAAAGCTGATTAAGGCAAATGCTTCTTAAGAAAGGTGATTTCTTGTAAACAACACGGAAATTATTTTTTGTCCTTCATCAGAAGCTCTTTCTTGAGAGTGACACTTGCTATGTCCCCAGGCCCCTGCAGAACCCCTGCCCCTCTCACTGCTGCTCTCGATTTCTGAAGGGCTTACGTGATGCTTTGTGGAAGGCCAGCTTGCAGCTGGCAGTGAGAATAGCCGAGTTTTCTTTTGCAGGCAGCTGCAGCAGCAAGAGGTGCCACCACAAGACTTCTCCTGTGGCCTGTCTGGCCTTCGTAATGTGCTTGGCCGCTGGGCTTTGGTATCTGACTGGCAGTGTAGTGTTTGCGACATTTTGTGGATCACCTCTATCAAACTATTCACCAGCACAACAATTCAGTAAAAAAAGTGAAGGTGTATTAGAAAAAAAGTACCTTATTTTAAAGCCATATTAAGAAAACCTAAGCTATGCTTTCATTTTAAGAGCTGCTGTGCACAAATGCTTTGATCCCAAACTAATCAATGTCTATTCGTTAATTGGCACCTAATTAATAGCAACATAAGTCACTAAGCAGTCAAGTTTTGTTGTTTGTTTTTTTTTTTCTAAGGGGAATTTCCTCTTGGAAGCAGAGCATCTTCTCATGTCCTGACTTGGAATTTTCCTGCTTTTGTAATGTATTTAACGCCTTTAAAAGGCTTGTATTTTTCTCCATACATGTCTAGGCGATTCACTTTCAGTCCTAAAAAAGACAAAAACAAGGATGAAATTAAAAGCAGAATGCTAGAAATCATGTCAGTCTGTTTAAAAGTCCTGCTTTTTTTGAAGCACGTGAGATTGGTTAGGGCAACAACTTTAGTCTGTTCTACTCAGTGAGCCAACAGCCAAGGGATGAACCACTGAACCAGTGCGTGTGTCTCCCACAGCTCCGATGCACTGCATTCATTTCCAGTAATGCAGATGAATTCTTTTCACTCTAAATCAGAACTGCAAGGACCAGCAGTCCCTCTGCTATCAATTGAGAAATGCCAGTAGCTATTAATCACCTGACAGTTTCAAGCTGTACCCTGTTTTCTCGCAGGTCCATTATCTCTGGCATCCAGCCATTGGATCCAGTCTGTTTTGCTATATTTAAACTAGTGGGTTGCAAGTTTAAGAGGAAACTGCAGGATTCTGTTCTTACACAAGGACTAACCGTTATTAGCTCAGCAAAGTAGTCTAGGAAGCAAAAGGACCATAGCCTGGTACCACCCTAGAAAGGTAGGGCATGTACCAGTTCTCATCTACTGCCTTCAGCTGTCCTCCTTTTCAAGTGTGAGTCTTTGCTCTGTTAGTATCTTAATCCTGCAAAGCTTGCTTGCAGAAGCATTTCATGCATGAACAACTCGCACAATTTGTTTTCACACTGAGGCCTTGTTTGCTTTACATTTACTTTTGAACTTACCCTATAGAATTAATTCTGACTTTACTTGCAGATTGTTTTGAAGATGAAAAACTAATCAGCTCCAGAAGGAAAGAAGGATATTCTTTAAAATTAACTGAGTTTTTTTGACTACAAGAAAAGGCTTTAGTGGTATAAGGCTTGCTAAATCATCATCCATCACTCTTCACTAAAAGGATAAATTCGGATGATTAATGCACAAGTCAACAAAGAAAAATCCATTCTTCTGTGCACTTCTCCATCTTTCTTGAGCAAAACAGTTGGGAATTCACAATTCCCAGCAAGGAAGTCTTCCAGTAAGGGTAACTGTCAGGTTTCGGTAGATCAGACTTTACCTTTTTGGACCAAGCTGACTTCATATCAGCATCTCCAATTAAAAGATTAAGTTTCCCCACTTAATTTCCTACTGCGACTTGTTCCGTCAGTACCGATTTCAAAGAACACCCACCCACTCACCTGAAATCGCAAGCTGTTGTATCTTAAACTGGATATTTAAACTTGGATTCTCCTCTGGCTTGGGGGCTCCAGACTGCAGGTTCACTATGCCCTTCAGGTTTGGTAGCTTTTGAGGGGTAATTTTGCCAACGTCCCATGTTAACACCTGGTCAGGAAAGAGAAGAGTAGCAGCAGCTTTCTAGGAAACAACCTATGAGATCAAGCTCACGTTAAGCTTTTAGTTTGCAGCCCGGGTACAGAATGCAGCCTGGTAGCTCTGAGATTTATGCCATCAGCTGGGAGATGGCACGGTTAGGGCTTCTGCAGGTACAGTGTCTTTCTTTCCCGGCATTTCTTCTGCTCTGACGGTGTTTCTTAGTTGGTCTGTGCACTTAATACATCTTGTTCCCTTAGCAACAGTGATTGTTCCTGTTGTCAGACTGGGACAGGCAGATCCACAAAGCAGGGAGAGTAACCAGCATAAAGGCCATAGGAACTTAAACACGAGAATGAGGAGGACAGCAGCAAGGCACCTGGCAAAAGGAGATGTTTAAACTAGTGTAACTTTCCTAAGGGTCGCTCGTTTCCCACTGGTTCTTACACTTTTAAGATAGATAAAGGAAACCAAGTTAGCCCTTTACTCACCCACAAGAGGTTGGGGTTTTGTTGTTCTTACCATAAACTGAAAATTGTTGATAAATGCAGAAAAACCTCAGTTCTCCCTATTTCTACAAAGTTTTGTAGTTACAATCCACCTAGTTATCACAACTCTTGATGAAAACACAGTAATTTATTTCTGCAGAGTGGAAAGGAGACTTCCAAGTGTTTTTGTTGGTGTTTTTAAAAGATCAAGGTCTGTTCTTTTTGAAACAAAGTATTGCTTAGAGAGCTTTCAGTTACAATTCAGATCAATTGCTGACTGAGATATTCCAAGGGCAGCAGAAAGCTCAGAGAACAGTGTTACAGCCAGCAGAATGGTTTGGCTCAGACCGCATTTCAGCAAAATGGTTCCTGGGTACTAAAAAGCCTCAGGAGCTTTAGGAAATGTAGGTCTCAAACCCCATCTCAGAGGCAAGAAAGCAGGACTCCCAAGATACAGTTTTTCCAGACTCTGTGACCTCCTCTGTGTCTTCAGGCAGATCTTTTGGAAGAGGTTTTTTTCCTCATCTCCTGCTCCCTGGTTTTCTGGCTACCAATTTTCGACTCTACTGCATTTTCTCCAGATAAGCATGTTTTAAAGAACACAGAATGCAAAATATACCATAACTGAAACCACCAGCAAAATACTGCTGCAACCATTAAAGACAAATATCAGGGGGCTGAAGGAGCAGGGGAAAAGAGAGGAAGAAAAGGAAACAGAGACTGACAAAACCAGAAATCACAACTGGTGTGTATCGAAGTTTGAAAAAGTAAATTTTAATTCATAAACATATGCTGTAGG